GACATTGATGAGCTTTCCATCTGACTGGGTTCATTGCAAGATTGTCCAAATTGAAAAAAAATAAAATAAAAATATCTGCAACTGCAGTTCTCTCTCCCTCTCTCAAACCCTCTTAAGTGAGTAAGCCAGATCGGGTATATTGGTGAGTCTGTTGATGGTTGATTAGTGAGTGGGAAAGTCCCGATCAGCTGGTGGTGATCAAGTGGGGTCGGCAAGTCGCTGTGACCGATTGCAGGACTTGCGCAAGCTTAGCATCCTGATCAGACCAGCGGGGTGACGACTGCCGGGTTGTTTTGTACGGTGGTGTTTTTGTGTGTGGTGAATGGCTTGTGCCACATGTCTGAGAGCTGGGTAATGTGCTTTTCCCCTTATGGATGGAATGTGAGGTATCATCCTTGTTCTTGTGTGTACATGAATAAAATACACATCCAAATTAATCCTAAATTAAAATGAAATAATAAATTTGTAGAAAAGCCTATCAGCAAAGGAGTGACTGCGATGTACAACAAAAACAACAAAAATGCTGTAACAACTGTATGAAAATTAAGTACAATCTCTTTCCAAACTAATTTGAAGAAAAGTCTCATCATACGATACGAGAGTAATTGACTATTTGAGTAATTAAATGACAAACAAGATATGCTCGTTGTAGCATGAATGATTTATGACCGGCTTGTTTGAGTGTATAAGCACATGGGAGCTTCGACGTGAAGAGATTGTGATCTCTTCTTCCTTTTCCCCTGCTTGTTTTTGCACGTTATCATGTAAACTCGGTGGAATGATCGCCTATTAGCAACAGTTTTCCTGCCCCAAAGCTGCTTCTGTTTCTCTCTCGGGAACATGCATAACTAGCCCCCCACCCATCCCCTTTCCCTACATCGACATTTGCGACGAGTATGTGAATGGGATGTGCGAGAAGCGACGGCTCAAATCTGTAAGCCATACAACTTCACCAATGATAGTCGCTGTTCAGGATGCGTGGGATCGGGTTTTGTGATTTATTAGAAACTGCTTCTCCTCCCTACCCCTGTTTTTGCCTTATGACGAGCGCACTGTCGTTCCATGGCCAACCATAGCACCTTTCTGGCCGTGAACGCTACACTCAGAGTAGGCGAGAGGATCGGTACATGCAGTGAGGGTTCACCTACGTGCGTCACAGAGAAGAGGAGAACAACGAATGGAAGACTTGATTGAGGCCTTCCGCTTCGGACTCCAAACTCTGAGGGACACATAAGCGCACCATGACTAACCTCCACAATCCTATGCATGCAACCTGTTGTACGCAGCCTGCGCAGCAAAGAATGGGCACAAAACAGGCCGTGGCCCCTTTGGCCATTTGTTGTACTTGCCAACTCTTCCATGTTTTCCCGTTCTGGTGCTTAGTGAGTTATTTGAAAGAAAGAAAGTGAGAAAACCCAACTGGGCACCCGTGTGTCTCCCACAGAACCATATTCAGTGTCCCATATGTGCTACGAGACCACCATGCATGTAACTCTCAGACAGAAATTCCGCATCACACCCCACTCACGTGAGACACATGAAGTCCAATAGAGTTTCAATAATCAACAAAGAACTTGGTCGTCTTCTCTTCCACCAGCGGCTGTGGCCGCTCAACTCAGCAGGTAGCTCTCTCTCTCTCTCTCTCTCTCTCTCTCTCTCTCTCTCTCTCTCTCTCTCTCTCTCTNTCTCTCTCTCTCTCTCTCTCTCTCTCTCTCTCTCTCTCTCTCTCTCTCTCTCTCTCTGTGTGTGTGTGTGTGTGTGTGTGTGTGTGTGTGTGCTCTCATTCTCACCTCATTGTCCCCACTCCTCTCTCAGAATGCCTTCCTCTCTCTCTCGTACTACAGCTATGGCGCTCAGTGCCGATGACTAATCTGACCCACACTCTCCCTCACTCACTGTGTCGTCACTTCAATGCAGAAGTGCAAAGCACCTGTGTCCAAGCCCAAGTGCTGCTGGACTTTTGTAGTTGCCGTTCCTCCTTCCAGACTTCCTCGGTTCCCTTGCCGCGGTGTGCTGTTTCCAGAAGTTCACGGATTTCCCTTGGATCTGGCTGCTTGATGGGACTGACTGACACTTGGCCAAACAACAACTGCCATCTCATCTGCAACGTGGTGTGCCTACCTGAAAAGAGGCTTTTGAATCCATAACTGTTGTCTACTATGGACTCACTACCAGCGCCTACTTAACTAGCCTACCTAGGCCTCTGGAGACCTTGTGCATGTGGCTAGGGCCTCCAATGGAACATGGAATGGGAGTCGGGACCGAGACTTGAGACTGGGACTTATTACTGGGTCTCTGGATTGGGACTTGAGACTGGGACTCGGTCTGGGACTCAGGACTCGGACTCCGGACTGGAAGTATTGAGGACCGTGCATCCTTTCATATGGTTTTGAGGTTGTTATAACCGCTTGACCATGGATGTTCCACGTGTCCTGCATAACCACCTTGGTTATCCCGTCTGCCCCATGTGTCCCCCTGTGTCCCACAAAACCACCTTGTGTGTCCCATATGTTGCACGTGTCCCATGTGTCCCAGTTTGCTCATGGGCATCCCATGTGTCCCACAGACCCACCTTGAGTGTCCCATATGTCCCATGGAACCACCTTGGGTGTGCCACGTTCCACAGAACTACCCAAACTACCTTGGGTGTCTGACATGTCCCATGTTCCACACAACTACCCTGGGTTTGTCCCACATGTCCCATATGTCCCACATGTCCCATGTGTCCCATGTGTCCTACAGAATCTCCCAGTCTGAGTACGGTTGTCCAGTGTGTACCACAGCGCCACCTCGCAGGTCCCATATGTCCCACACAACCACGTTGGGTGTCCCATGTGTCCCGCGGAATCACCCAGTTTGAGCATGGGGGTCCCATATGTTCAATTTATTGATGAATTCTTTCTTGCAACACATGCATCACGTTTCACTTTCACGTGTGAATCAATCACTTGAGATGAGCCTCACAGCATGACAATGATGGCACAAGGGTGTGTGTTCCCTTCTTTTTTTTTTTTTTAAAACAAATAGGCTGATAGCATGCTTCATTATATATAGAGCAAAAGGAGGCCGGGAATCCCTCCACATCTCAACCCGGAAGACCGGGACCATTACCCAGCTTAGGCTCATACTGGATCCGGGTATAGTGTCCCTTTCTCCTGTCAGGCTACATGCTATTCTTGAACAAAGACAAAACTGGATTAACTAAAGACAAATAGCAATAAAGGAAAGAGCCCTCCAACCTACCCTCAGGTTGCACTTGGGCGCCGCAAAATCCTTAAACCCTAAACCCTGCTGTCTGCCTGTCCTTCCTAGCCAACCTACCCCTTCCCCACCCCTACTCTGCTATGTTAACCTTTTAACCCACCTCCGTTCCCCTTCTTCTATCTGAACTTAAGTGCTACCCCTACGAGCCTAACACTGTAGTCTTGCCCCCGTTGATCCTTATTCTCAAACCAATGGAAGGCTAATCTGTATCCTTCAATTGTTGCTATCTTTCCTTTTACCAACGTTATCCGGTGAAAAGTCTTAAATATCTCCCAGGCTTTCACCGGGTTTAGCTGAGCTTGCCGTCTTGTTCTTTGCCATTGGGCCGTGATATCCGTCTCCAGAAGGTTGTGCAAAACTTGCTTGGCCTCCAGTCTGTGAATTTGTCCCTTTACTATCGTCAGATGACATCTCCTCTTCCATATGGTCCACAATGCATATTGTCTCAGTAATTGGAACCCCCTTCTCTGGCCCGGTTGCCATGTCTTCGGAAGCTCCATGCCGGTGAGGAGGATCCTCCTGTCCTCCGGAAAGGACTCGTCTGAGATCTTGCCCAACAGTTCCCTGGCTGCTTCCCACACGTATGCCGCCTCTGGGCATTGTAGCAGACAATGAAGCAAGGATCCCATCCCTTCAGCCGTGCAAAGGTGGCACTTGTGGTTGACTTGGTCCCTCTGGTGGTGACTGCGGCACTCATACAGCCAGGCATTGACTGGGAGCGCCACATGGAAAATCAGCCATTGCAAGCTTTTGACCCTACCTAACCTTATGCTCTTTAACGCTGGCCACGACAATCGAGCGACCTGCGTCCTGGGCACTTCCAACCTCCTTTCCCATCGAATAGCCAGTGGTTCCGCCAGTGGGTGAGACCTTCTTCTAAGTCTGTACCCCAGTTTGGTTGTGTAGTGCAGTATGCTTATTCCTCTGGCCACCCCCCAGTATTCCTCCCCTGATGTTCCAATCCTCTAGAGCCGTAGCCGGAGCATAAATCGTATAGTTGTCTGTCTCCACCGCTCTGACCTATCACGCTGCGCTTTTTAAGATTGTAATCGGGGTAGTGGATGTCGTATCTAACTGACTGGTGGTGGTCCCTGTTTCCTCTATTGAGAACATATCAGCCAATAACCATGCATCCCTCGGGCCCGTCTTGCCCCTTATCCTGAAGGCCTCTTCCAACTTATCCTCGTGTAACCATGTGGCCCAATCCCCCTTCTCCCATTGCGGTCCCTTCTCTAGCAGATTTACCCATTCTGATGGGATGGAGATGAGGACATCATTCAGGTTTTCTAGCACCTGTGGGTGCCCTTCATATCGTACCGAAGGTCTCGTGCTGTCTTCCACCGCTGTTTCTCGTCTGACCATAAATGTCTTACCTGCCAGACTCCATGTTCCACCCACATTCCTCATTTCGAGTCCCGTGCTGTTAAGGTACGCGACTGTTCTTTTTTTCTTTTGGTGTGGTGCAACTTTTCGGGATTTTCGGTCTGCTCTGAAATCACCAGTGCCGGCCTCGACCTGTTTTTGAATTATAATGATCCGAGTGTTGCTTGAAAAAAAATAAAAAAAATAAAAGAACATGCCTCACTTGGTACAGAAGCAGCTGTGATGTTCTGTGTCGCTTCTCGTATTTTTTTTTTTTCTTCTCCTTCGTTTGTTTTTGCTCTCCTCAATCCCTTTGGTCAGCAGTAACCGATTAATTATCTTTGGCTTATGTACGGTGGTTGGTGATGAAACAGGCAAGAACCAGGCGCAGTTCACTAGGCAACTGTTATACTACTTGGGAGCATTTGTCGTTGGAATACCGGTACCTGCTTCTGTGCCTGAGAAATCACGTCTCTCCCTAGTGTATGTGCTTTGCTGTCATGCTTGAATGCTCTCATCATGTCGAGGGGTGTTGTTTATGTGGGGCGAAACAGAAAGGATGAGCGATGGGCATTCTTTCTACTCTCTTTTTGTTTTTCTTTAGTTTTCCCCTTCTCTTGTCCTGCTCTCAATCTCTCCCTCTCTTCCTCTCTCCTTCTCTCCGCCCTCTCTCCCTCTCTCCCTCTCTCCCTCTCTCCCTCTCTCCCTCTCTCCCTCTCCGTTTCTCCGTTTCTCCGCTTCTCCGTTTCTCCGTTTCTCCCTCTCTCCCTCTCTCCCTCTCTCCCTCTCTCCCTCTCCCTCCTCTCCCTCCTCTCCCTCCTCTCCCTCCTCTCCCTCCTCCCTCTCTTCTCCCTCCCTTCTCCCTCTCTC